ATGATATAAACCCTGCACTACCTTAAGGGTATAGTCCTCACTACGGGTAATGCAGGATTTATATCATCAACCGTATCAGTCAACGAAATGTTGAGGGCCCTTTTGCATCTGCCTAGGTGTCGCGCTGCCACACTTCAAGATGAAACATGTCATGTCGAACCCGTATCAGATCTAACAGCTACACAGCGAGGGACAATCTTGGTCTGACATTTCAGTTATGTCGCAGGTGGATGCTGTGAAGCGACAGAGTCCAAATAGTGTGCAGTTGAAGATAGTGCGGAGTTTGGGGTTGCGAGGGCATGGCAGACGTTGCAGCTGACATCTTCTCAAAGCCTGCTCTTAAGCAGGCGAGCTATGACCCAGGTCTCATGTGTTTTGGGATTGAAGGTTCGCGTTGCCGCTTTCACTGTCGGTCTTGAACGGACGACTCCGTAGTTTGCCGCTGCTGTCATTCTGCTAATGTTAAGTACCTGAGCCTTTTTGTTGGTTGCGCTACTCCCATGACGCCGAAGTCTCACTCATAACATACTTGCTGCCAGGCTTCGTGCCCGCGAAAGGAACACTGCAACGTTGTCGATGCCACAGCAGGAGTGCTTCACCAACTGCGCAAGCTTGGGCGGGCGCTTTTGATGAATGCGACAAATGGTTCAAAAGCAGAAGCCAACTATAGCTGTGATCGTCGAGTAGAAATGAAAGCAAACATCTATGCACAGCAGTGTAACTATTAGAAATAGCAGTAGATGTACAAGATGATAAATTGCAGCCCTGATGGCGGTTCTGGAGCGAAGAGCAGTCGTTGAATTACTGGCACTGCCGGATCACTGCCCCTTATTAGAGCACAGAGGATGAACATGGTACCCTAAAGTAGTCAGTCTCGGGCATGCCACTTGTATGTTGCCAAGCATGAGGATGTCATAGAGATCGTCAGAACAGTAGTATTCATTAACCACGGCACAAGTGACAAACGCTTTGGAGGTCGTGCTCGAGCAACAGTCAATAGTCGTGATGTTGGTACTGGTGCAAACAGTGAAACTAGCCGCTGCAGGGACGAGGAGGACTAGTATCAATAGTGACAGCCGTAGCAGCGGTAGCGGAAAAGCCAGCTGTATATAGTGTTAGCAGCCTTGGTCATTGAGGTGTCATTGTACTGAACTTACGGCGAATAAGGCAGATGTAACAAAAGTCGCCATGAATGACACCACTAGGAACCATGGTGCTGTCAACTATGGCGGAAACTAACGCACTGCCAGTATGAATTCAGGCAGCACCACAGGTTTGTGCATCAAGTTGCCGCAAACAGTCATCATGTTCGTGCGGATGTAATTGATTGCAGTGCCCAGCAATTCTCCGACCTTCCACCACGTGTCCAAGTGCGACAGCGTCTTGACTCACATCGTAGATCCCTACATAGACGACGGATCAACGACCCCAGCCGAACCGTCCCGCCGAAATCCGCCAAGCGCAAAGAAAGCGTTGGAAGCCGTGGAAACCCGAGGGAAGACGTGTGCACCTGCAAATTACGCCAGGCATAGATCGCCAGCTCGTAGACCTGCCCGAGGAGAACACATCAAGTGTAATGTAGGGTCCTTAATAGTTTTCAATAGGGTTTTGGAGTATAATATACTATAATTATAATAAGGAGCCCCCAAAATAGTATGGGTAATCATTTAGGCCGCTAGATTTCTCTCCAAAAGTCGCTGTCAATGGCTTCCATGTGGGTGAGAGTGTGGCTTTGCACGAGCTACCCCGGTGTTTATGGTGTGTGAAACTTGCCGTTGTTGGGATGGGACCACATATTTTTTGGTTTCGCTAATGGTGGTCACTTCAACCCATACTATTTCGGGGGGTTCCTTACTATAAATATAGTATAACGGGCCGCAAAACCCTATTCTAATTATTAAGGCCCCTACATTATGCTGCTGCTGTTGCCGCTGCCGCTGCTGATGTTGTTTTTGTGGTTGCTGTTGTCTTTCTGGGGATGCTGGTCTGGTAGTGATCGTGTTGGTGCTTGCGACTTTCCCAGTTTGAAGTCCCGTGCTCGGGTGGTTCTCTCCTGATGAAGACAATGATCACAATACTGTTGAGAGATTTTGGGGAAAGACGAGGACGATTATCACGCATTTTTGTTGGTCCTGCTGGTACCGAAACGAGTAGGCAGGGGTGATAATTACGGCAACTCCAGCAAAAAGCACCGCGACTGAAAAAAGTGCTGACAGTGATGCGGATGACGAGCAAGACATGCAAGAGTCATGAAGATATCGAAGCTGCAACTGGTGCTGTCGTTGCTGCTTTTTTGCTACTGGCTCTGTTGCTGCTGCTCTGTGTTTCTGACCGTCCGCTGGCAGCATCACATCTTGTCGTTGTCACGGCTAAAAGCCGCGCAATGAACGCTTCCGTAAGCATAGCCCCCAGCATTGCGACACAAATACCGGAGTACGCCACTGTCAGTCAGATTTTCCTGTCAGTCATATTCCTCGCAATCATGTTGCTGCATCGTTTGCACTCAGTATTCGTCTTATCATCGGGCCAACCGCGGCGTTGCCACGGCAATCGTCATTCCCATCATGGGCAGAAAGATTAAGCATCGCCATCACCTTCACGACACCGTCATCGTCTCATCTTCGCATCTCGGGCCTCAGGTTCTGCATCGCTCTTGAAGTGCTGGTTGATGGTGTCTTCCTAGAAAGGCGGAGCTCAGCAGCTGACGATTCGGGCCGCAGTGGCGGCTGAGAAGGTTGCTACGGTCTTAGAGTCTTAGGTGCAACACAAGTGTGGGAAAAAACATGAGAGAGCTAGAATATCTGCGCAGGTGCGCTTTTCGCGCAAACTAAGGCATGGCAGCGAAGGCCAGCTGCAAAGCACCTGAATAAGTGGTGGCACAGATGTTTTGGGGTACGTTCTACCCTAAACCCTAAACCCTAAACCCTGAACCCTAAACCGGCAAGTATCTCGTGGTTGTTCAGGCTACTTTGGTACACTTGAGGCCGTCCCTTGATAACGTCAGCCCCACGAGGGCTTCGCGCTTCCTGCTTGACTTTGACGGACCTTACAAAAGCGGTCTTGTAGGACCAAGCATCAACTTTGGTCTTGTCCCAGCCGATGTAGGCATTCCCTGGCGACGACGTGCCAGGGGATTCAGAACTGAGAGCACGTGCGTGGCTGCAAGGAAACGCTACGACCGCTGCGCCACTGCCTGCACGAGTAGGGTTTATGCACAATCATAGCACACTAGGTAGTACTGCTGACGAGTCAGCTATAACTCGGACATGGACATCGCAGAAGCAGAAACTTTGAGGTTGGGATATGTCTGCTTAAGTAAGGCAACAAGCAGAACACGAATGAAAGCCAGAGCAATCAAAGAGACATGTGCAGTCACATCCAAGCTCAGGATCAATCATCTTGACCGTCTTCATGATTTTCCTAATCCTCATCACCATCAACATAACATGTTGAACTAAGGTATACCTTGACTCCCGCCGACAGTTGCAACGATACCGTAAAGCCGACACAACAGCAAGCCTTACCAGTAGGACCAAAAAGACCTCACCACCAAAAGTCATTATCAAAAGGCTGCTATCATGAAGCCCCGCAATGAGGTTTCATGAACTATGAATATCCCATCCCACCTACTTGGAGACGAATCCGCGAGTGAAAGTCTACAATCTACAAACGCATCCCGTGGCCTGCCTGACCAATATGTCATCCTCGCCCTTTCCTCCGCGACCTTGGGAAAACCAAACTTGTCACGAAAGACAT